ATTCTATTGAGCTATAGCTTCTAAAAATTTAACTTCAATTCATCTTGTTATCTGCCTTGGAGAGGATTCGAACCATATATATATTGTCACATAATATCATAGCGCCAAAGCGAAAAAACCAAGGAAAACAAAAAAACCTTAAATTCGTTTTCAATCTTCTTCCTTACAACTCCCCCTGTTCAGAACCTCTTGCGTACAAGGCCGCCCTCGTGGATGTAGGTTGAGCGGCGGCTGCCCCCACCCCCTTGTGTCATATCGACCCACTTGCACACAGCCAAAAGGCAAAGAGGCAAAGAAAAGAGGAAGGGAACAGCCAAATAAAACAGAACAGGGGCCAAGAAAACAAACATAGATACCAAAACATTCTTGTCTACAAAAAAATCAAAAAGAGCTCCGATCCACAGTGTGACAACCAAAGAAAAGGAAAAGACAATCCCGGATGACGATTCCCACATACAAGCACCGCCCCGCGCTCAAAAGGCCAAGCAGCGGGAACCAACCAACCAACCAGGATGCCCATTCAACAGGATGACAATCCTACATGACAAGTCCCACATGCAAACACCGCCCCCGGCAACTACAGGCCAAACGACGGGGCAAGACCAACCAGGATGTCAAAACACACTTGCCTGCAAAACGATAACCCGATGACCAATCCCTCATGAAGCACCGCCATCCCTCCCTAAGATAGACCAAATAAGGGGACAAGATCAACCGGAATCGAAGCAGACAAGATTCTCATTCACAAAACAAACATTCTACCATATCCATAGTTAAAAAAACGGAACCATTAAGTAGGCCCGCAAAACGAAATACCCCTAAAAAGGGGAAAAGGGAAAAGCAACACGAGAAAATATGGGATGATAGGACAAGGATTCAAGCTATTTCCAACATAAACGAATTCTTGAGTGCGCTGCCAAATAAATCAAGGAAATATTTTCTACCATAACCAAAGAAGAGTCTGCTAGTACAGTCCCGACGCTAGCCGCATCATCTACAAAAGCAGAGAGCTAGCAACGTCGACAGTATATATTGTCACATAATATCAGAGCGCCAAAGTGAAAAAAACAAGGAAAACAAAAAAACCTTAAATTCGTTTTTAATCTTCTTCCTTACAACTCCCCCTGTTCAAAATCTCTTGCGTACAAGGCCGCCCACGTGGATGTAGGTTGAGCGGCAGCTGGCCCCACCCCCGTGTGTCATATCGACCCACTTGCACACAGCCAAAAGGCAAAGAGGCAAAGAATATATATATATTGTCACATGATATCAGAGCGCCTAAGCGAAAAAAA